AAATTGATATAATCAAGTACGAGTATTCATATCAATAAGGCAAAAGAATTGAATTAATGTACACACTACTTTTGTGACGTTTTTTGAAATGCTGACTTTATTATATAATATGTAATGAAATACATTAAATTTACTCTATTTATTTTATATACTATCTTAATAGGGTTATAGAACCAAAGGTGTTGTTGTGTCGATTCATTATCTCCAGAAAATTACAAGAGCGATCAGTAATCACATGTGTCGCTTCATGATGGCCAATTTCATGTTGGGACAAATTTTGTGACAGACGGACAGTGCACACGGACAGTGCACAACTAGACTTGGTACTGATCATTCCTGTAAAGTTTGGATGAAATTGCACCAGTAGTTTATGAGGTGTAGTCCGGACAAGTTTTGTGACGGACGGACGGACAGACAGACAGACAGACAGACGGACAGAGAGACGACGGAGAGGCGACACAAAAAAGTGATATTTAGATATCAAACTTTGATATATAATGTATACATAAAGCAACTTTAAACCGCCCATATACAAGCTCAATCGAACCGACCTTGCAACATTTCCATTTTTTTCGTTTTGGGCTTACATAAGGTTTACTGTTTTCTCCCGGGGATCGAACCCACGCCAGAGAGGTAACTGGATAAGAAGTCATCGACTCTAACCCCTCGACCACGGAGGCGGTATCAAACTTTAAAATATTCGTATTATTTCCGTAGTTGTTTATTTTAGGTATCATGCCTAAATATTTTTTTATTAATTTGCTGGAAGAGAATCAAAAATGCAACAACTGAGGACTAAGAATACAGTTATTTAAACTAGAAAACACTTTCGATAAATTTGTAAAAGTTAAGATATGAATAAACCTAGTTCTTTTTAAAAGAAAATCTGCTCAGTACTGCCCAAACATATGGAATTCTCAAGCAATGAATCGTATTCATATGCACATGTCAAATACGAATCTCAATTTTTACAAGAACCGCTACAAAACCAATAAACCAGATGAATAACCAAACTGGTATTTAAAGAGTCAATGGTTCACCACATCATAATGCTGAATTTACAGGTGGCTCATTTAACTGTATCATAATCAAATAAGTAACTGGAAATCTAAGTAGAACCAGATGCCTCATTGTAAATAGTTGTTGCCTATCATTAAAAAACACTTACCATTTCGCAGTTGCACCCACTAAATTGTTTGGATAACTATATTGTTGTATTACTATCTGTAAGGTGATTAAAACAAAAGATTTGTAAGACCAAAACCATTTTATTGAGATAAGATTTAAGAAATTTCCTTTGTTGTCATAAAAACACCCACCAAAGGTTTTGCACTTGATGATGAAAATTTGAGATATGTATTGAATAACTTGGTTATGTCATGTACGTTATTGGAACAAAATTGTCAAAATCAAAGTTCATTTAACACTTAAATTATCTCACATTGCAAACTTCTAAAGCGGCTTCTTTCTAAATGGTAATATGAAATTTGCTAGACGTTGCATGTGCATTGTTCTTTCATTCGATATTTTAAAATCATATTTAAAAAAAAAAAAAATCTGCTCTTATCTGCTCCATTAATTTACTTTTGATATCCCTCTTATTTCTTTGATCTTAATATCAATAGATTGAAACATTATTGTTGATTATATACGTTATTTTAAGAAATGAAGAGCTTTAGAATTTTATTTTTGAAAAAATATATGACAGTTACAAACAACAAAAAAGCAACAAAAAAAGTCACACGCATAGTTTTTTTCCTTTGAAAACTAACATATTTTATTTAGATATGCCAAGGAGAAAACGTACTGTGTCCTGTTTACATGTACTTTTAATACATTTTTACTTCATTGGCGGTGAATCAAAACGCTTGAGATCTAATTACTATTTAACATTTATCATAAAATTTTCTAAACTAGAAATGTGTCGTCACTCCACGGATGTCCCCGCATGCAACCAAATTTTCAGATGTTATAATATTTAGTTCCAAATTTGTTTGCCCAAATTATGTTTTTCATTTTAAGTTCAAAGCCCTTAAAACTATTCAATGTTAACACAAACCATTTTTATACAAAGTTCAATGCACTTAAACCATTCAGTGTTAACCTTTTGTAAACTAAATATTGCATATTTGTAGCCAAACTAATGGCTACATTCATTTCCACAAAAGTATGAGTGCTGAAACTGAAAATTCAAAATTTTTCCAACATTCAAGAAAAATAACTTTGTCCTAAATCATTGAATCACGACCAAATTCAAACTTAAAGTGCTCATTCTTAAGATGTATCAATATATCAAATTTGAGTTGAATGCCAAAAATCATCGAATCATGACAAAATTCATACTTAACCTGTGCATATCTTTGACGTATCCATATGTCAAATTTGAGTTGAATGTATAATACCGTTGGTGAGATAAAGTACGGAAACTGAACATTTCATATTATTTTCAAAGTAAAAGGGGCTTAACTCTGACAAAAATCATCCAACCATGACAACGTTCGACCTGTATTGTTTCATGACATATCCATATGTTAAGTTTAAGTTGAATGTGTATTACCGTTGAAGAGATAATGAACGGAAACTGAATATTTCATATCATTCTCAAAGCAAAGTAAAAGGGGCATAACTCTGCCAAAATCATCGAACCATAACCAAATTCGAAGTTGACCTGCATTTTCTAATGATATTCATATGCCAAATTTTAGATGAATGTGTGCGACCGTTACTATGATAATGAACGGAAACAAATGATGACGGAATGACAGAATGACGGTATGACGGAAGTACGGAAGAACGGAAGGACAGAATGACGGAAGGCCGGAATGACGGAACAAGGTTACACTATTTGCCCCAGCCATTATATGGGCATAAAAAATCAATATATGATACTGTGAAAAATAAAAAAAATTGCAGTCATTTTTTTCTTTAGCTCGTTAATGAACGGCTGGGGTCCATCTGTACAATGGGAATGTGTCGGAATTCCATTTTGTCATTTAGACTCCTTTGTAAGTAAAAATGTTCCTACTATTAGACAAAATGTGCAAAATAATACTTTATTATAGTTTTACTAAGTGGAATCAAAATGTTAATTTTTATACATCTTTTAACATAAAATAATCTTAACCAATTTTTATTTGTCAAGTGTAACTGTTTTTTTTCTCACAAAAATGACCATTGGAATGTTGTGTTTGCTACATTTTTAATCAATCTTCAATATGGAAAGAAACTAAAAGCACTATGTTGATTGAATACAATTTTATTTTCAGAATAATTACACACACTATGCCTACTACACCATTACAAAAAGTGAAGAAAATTTGATTGCAAATTAATTTTCAATATGCTACATGTAATTGAGAATTTTGATGGGTTAATAAATCTCACCTTAAAATTCAAAATAAATTACCGAATGAAATGATTATGACCTAATTTTGAATGTATCGCAATCGTGTCGTTCTTTTCGTGTCGATATTTAGAGTTTCTGATTTGTATGATACAATACATAGAAAAGCGTTGTGCAATTAGGTAAATGATATTTTGTTAAAACAGGAAAGAACCTATATAAGCTTCATGAACGGCAATTCCGTTACGTGACAGTTTTTATGAACAAAATACCATTGTTATGTATTGCAACACTGTGCCTTTAACAAGTAAACAAGTAGCAGGTGCTCCACTGTGTACTAGATTATAAAACATTAAACATAAAAAATTGGGTAATATAACTTTGATTTAAAAATCAAAGCAATTGAGGACATTTAAAAGGGATAACGTGTAATGAAAAAGTATATTTTGTGTTTCTAGAATTACATTGGACGTGCTATACGCGTATACTTAGCTATCTGTTCTTTGGTGAACAAAATAATTTAGTTATTTATTAACATTACTGCAAAATCAATTTTAGGTTTTATTTAATGAATGGAATGGAAGCAACCTAATATATCTTTAAATAAAAGAATGGGAAGCGGTTGACCAATTTTGAAAGAAGGAGAACAAATAAAAATAGATTTTTTTTCATCATTTTGTATTTGTATTTCATTTGCAATGTGATGCTCTACAGTTGTTTTTTCAGTTTAAAATTCAGGAATGTTATTTTTATGACGATTGGATACCAACAAAGAAAACTGAAAAGACAGTGACTGAAACTGATGATGTTTTATTTTTTTTTTTATTTCAATGTGATCATCTTTTGATTATTTGTTTGATGTATTGAGTATTAACATAGATTTAATTGTTATTCACATTTGAGTTTTAACTCTAGATCTTTATATAATTTACAATAAATAAAGTAATAGAAAGACGAAGATTATAAATAATCAACATATCGTAATTTACGCTACGTTAATTGTCGTAAGTTTTAAATGATTCGAAGCACATGTATGATTATCAAACGGATAGACATATAAAAATTGTACATTAGGGAATATACACCAAATATACGTTCTTACAAAATAATTACCAAGTTTACAGACAGCAAGCACTCGTATCAGCAAATATATCATATTGACTTGCAAAATTTTAATTTTTACCCCGTTTTCCTTTTTTGAACTACAAAAATAGCCTTTGCTTCCAGTGGGGTTGATTTTAAAAATTGCAAAAAGGGTTTAAACTTACAAGCAGAAGTTTTTTTTCAAAATTTTCCCCGGGAGAAAAAAAGGGTAACCCTGAGTTTCTTGGAAAAGATGATGTGTTTGACAAAAACAATTTCTTTTGGCAAGAAAAAATAACTTTTAAAGGGAAAAAGTGAAAATGGATAATTTTTTTATTCCTTAAATTACCATAGCATAGACATAAAAGAAAAACAAGATTTTGTGAGGTGCATAATTAGTAAAACTATATCTATGCGGTTGGAAATGTACTTGTGCTCAATTACCGTCAGTATGCATGTTTGTGTTTGATAGAGCATTTGATTAAGGATAATATAAAGTTATGATAAAAGAGGATTCCTGGAATTTAAAACTGAAATGCAGTGTTTTCCAAAACCTGGCAAAAAATGAGAAAGTTATCACGCTAAAACAGCAGCAGCTCAATTGATTATTGATCGTGTTATTACAATGCCATAACTGGTGGCTTTGTATTAATTATTTATACATTGTATTTTAAAATCAAGCCAAACGATCAGCGCAACAGTTTCACTTTTATCACCATATAAGATGTGTAATATTTTGAAAACGTAAGTGGACAAGCAGACGTAGGGTTCAATTTTTCAATTGTTAACATTATTTATTATGGATTAAAGGCTACGGTTGTTTAACAAGTGCAGTTTTCTCTGCCGACTGGATCTATACAAAGAAAAATCATAACACTTAATTCAATATGGTTTCCGTTGGTTTGTGTATCTTAGAAACAATAGCTGCAGTAGAAACTATTTTTAGATTAACACAACAGTATGGACTATTGATGGACAAAAATGTAACGCAGCTTGTGGTAGGCGATGATGTGCCAATTTCTTTTCCAAGGACAGCACCAAGTATGCACCACACGTAAGTGAAGAGATAGATTGTTACTATAATGATGATTTTTTAAACAATGGTTTGCTAGTAAAATTGCCTTTTTGACACCTACTTTGTTCTCACTTTTCATTTTTATAAAACATTTAGCTATTGATCAGTTAGAAGATAATCAAATTTTTATAATTACCGAGTACATTCAATGCTGATTGTGAGACGAACTCTAAATGACGTCAGTATGGGCGACGCCATTTTGAAATGGACGTTACGTTAGGTTATAACGTAAGTCAACGGGAAAAATATAATTTTAACATTTTGACCATATAACTGACTTTTTTTTTTAAAAAAAGGAACATGCCTAAAGATAATGAAGTCAGTGTAAACATGACATTAATTTACATGATTTTACTATTATATTTAATTAAAAAATATTCAAATTTGGTGGGACAGACTATAACATAATTCAAACTATACCGTTAACAGATGTCATATCAGTTATCGTGTTATCGGAACATTAAAAATTGTTATATTAAGAGTAGTACATTGAATTATAAAATCCTTTACTTATTCATGCTCATATACACATTTTTTAATATCATTTAATTAAGATTCATTGAGAAGAGTTTAAACCAATCTGTACAATCTTAAATCAGAAATCGCCGCTATTATTAAACGTAAAACTATAAAAATCTGTGAGTCTGTGCACTGTTTTATTCGATAAATAACAACTACATACAAAAACAAAAATAAAATAAAAAAAAAACAATTAAAAAACATAAACAAACAAAAAAAACACAGACAAATCTTAACTACATAATTTACAAAATCGCTCTACAATGCTGTTAAACTGTTGCCATGATTACTTTAGAGTGGAACACCATTGTCAACCATTAAGGATGTACTTATTATATATGTGTGTGTCATATTAAGTCAGTATCAGACTAAACTATCAAACAAACATATATATCTTTGTATGCAGGTCAATTCATCATTACGCTATGCATGGGCTGTGTAGGAATTTTGAAGGCAAAAAGAAGCTGTATAAAGCCATGAAGACCAAGTTATGTCAAATGAAATGTAAGGAAATACATTTACATATTTTTTTTATACAAATTTAAAGTAAATTCGATTTGCAACATATCTAATGATAAAAATTGAACATAAAATTGCTTTATTTGAACTCTAAATCAAATAAACCGTTGTAATAATTAGTTGTATTTATAACAAGATCAAAGTTCACATGAGTAACAGAATACCTAATACTTTCAAATTTCAGTATCATTTATAGCGGAGTTTGTTTTGGATTTATGTAGAGGGAAACATGCTTTGTTGACAAATTGGGTTGGAGAATTATTTGACATTGATGGTAAGAATTAGCATACTTCAAAGTATATGCTACATTTATTTACTATATAACATAACTGATAACAAAAGGTACAAGTAAGCTTTGAATCGGATGCATTTTTTATAACATGGGTTTAACTTTGTCTGAATGATGGATTTACTGGGGAGGACTCATGTTAATGTTTTTTAATGCAGAGTGAAATTTTAACAAGTTTATCATAAAAGTAGCAAAAGGTAAACAATATACAATCACTATTATTTTAATTATGACCCAAACGCAATAGATGCTTCATCTGCATGGCCAAAGCGTATGTAAAAATATCGTTTTTTGGAAACTTTAGCAGAATACAAAAAAAAATGAGCAATGAAAAATACATATTATTCGTGAAATTATTTTTGAAATGGCAGACATAATTTTGCAGCTTTTCTTGCATATTGATCTAGTAGTTGTAACTGTTGACGATACGTGGTTTACAATAATTATAATTGCAGTTTTAAAACTGTATAAAATATTTATTACTTAATTCACTACATTGACTAGGAAAATGACTATTGGGATTGGCAATGATCATTGAATCAATAACATTGCAACAAACAGAACGACTGAAAGTGCAAAATGTAATATTCATACACAATATATACAATTGTTAACGTATTTATTACGTAATATTTCATTTTACGTTCAATCATAAAATATTAGATGGTTGATTCTATAATTATAGTTTTATAGATTATTGCTGGTAGCAAATAGATTGATTTATAAATTATATTTTTTTAATTACGTTATTTCAAAGCGATATTACGCAATGAAATATCGTCACCATCAGGATACGCATTGGGAAATTTCTTATTCGTCAGTGAAATTGGTAGAAACACACAGATAAAAAAATCACTGAAACAAACCACTACAATTATTTAGTGAACTGTGCGGTGGCCTAGTGGTTGGGTGTCTGCCCCTTAACAGGTGGGTCTGGGTTCTAATCCTACTGAGGATAACGGTCATGTTTTCTGTTATGACACCGCTGCTTGTTTGTTCGAATAAGCGGACTAAAAGCTTAAGCCTTAAGATAATAATCAAGCTTTCGTCTCAATCAAGCAACATTGTGTTTTAACTAAAATTAGCGATGTACAAATAATTATGCTGATAATTTAATGAATTTATCAAGCAACAACTGTAAATATTAAGAAAATATTTGATATACAAATGTATCACATAATTTGTTTTTGAATTGTAAGGGCATAATTAAATTTAACCACCTTTCTTTTTCAGGGGACGGTTATATTACACATTTCGAGAAACACTCATTTGATGATGTCTAGTGCTAGTGGTTACTTATTTTCGGATCATTCAAAGTTAATAAACAAGATGTAGTAAGAAAACAATCGGAATAAAAGAGTGAAAGTGTTTTAGACTAAATACTTGCTTTTGTAAAAATTAATGATTTTAAGATATACTTGAACTAAATCATTCACTATGTTGGCGAAACTCGTATATTGTAACTTATATTACAATGGTTTGTCATGTGATAATGCTGGAAAGCAAAACAGGTTTGCTTTTCTCACAATGTTGTTTCATAGATTTATTAATTCATATATCAATACAATTTAAACATTATATATTATCAGAGTGATTGTTAATCGAGTGTCGATGAATAAGAGATATACGACTCTTTAATATAAGTGTTATATGACGGAATTCTCACAAATTAATGTTTTACTACCGATTTTGTTCGGAAGACGTAATGCAAAATTAAGAAACATGTTCAGAATTAATCTGAAAATTGAAATTCAGTACAATTTTCAGCCAAGTTGAGTTAAAATTATCTAAAAGCGTTTCGTTTTGTTTTTGAAGTCATTTAGTATAATAAAAACAACATTATTCGGTAAAAGTGGAGCCAGGGAATAATCTGAAATTTAGCACCCAAATCTTCATTAAATGGTATCAAAATTCTGAAAAACAACTTGTCCCATCCTGTCTAAAATCCTTTAAGATGCATGCTTCAAATACAAAACTAAAGGGTCAAAAGCATTTTGACCTTGACATTTGACTTATGGACACAAAAATGGATTTGGCATGTATAACGCCTTATTTTTAAAGTTTGAAGTTTCAGGTCATTTCATTTTGTTTAATGGTCACTTTTATGTTTTGTTATTTAAGGAACAATTGACCTGAACCTTTATTCGTTTCACCTGAAAATGGATGTGTTCAGCATCAACTTACAAAAATCAAAGTTCCAAGGTCAAAGCATTTTAATTAATTTGAAAGTTTCATATTTTGTTATTATATACTATAGTGACCTTGACCTTTCGATTCATAAACAGATGGACCTTTATTCAATGACAAGGTAATGTTTTTTACGGAAATCAAACTTGCAGGTAGAAATCATTTTGTTAAATAAACATACAAAATTTGAAGTTCCCAGGGCAATAGACTTCAATTCATTGAAACGCCAATTTATTTTTGTTCATAGTGACATAGTTTGAAACTTACAAGTAATAGAATCAAATGGGGGCTAAACGTCTACATAATAAGTCTTAATGTTACAACTTATGCAATGATAATGGTGATTGAAAGTAAAGCTTTACCAAAATGTAAAGCAACGCTCAGCTGACGCCGGCTCTGATGATGATGATGATGGTGGTGATGATGATGATGATAATGACCGGTTATTACAATATCTTTAAACTGAAATACAACAACCATATTGTAAAACGTATCATGCTATTTTAAAAACTATGAAAGAAAACACAACTTTTTCTTTGCGTCAGTCAGTTACAACCCAGCCCAAACTACCGAGACTGTGCGGGATATAGCGGGATTAACTTAGAAGAGTTTTGACCTTAAGACCATCAAGGCGCTGCCCACAAAAGTATGCGGCTTAATTTTGTTGGTGTCAAAGAACTAATTTAAAAGATTAATTATAACTGTAAGCTTCAAAATGTAAATTCCAAAACGGATTGTAGAAATATTACAATCTGACAATCTTACAACATATAATATGGTCTTTACCTGGTTGAACATCCAAATGTTAAATTTATCTGGGATGGTACGGTTCGGGTTACATCTGACTGATGCACTTAATTTAAGTTCACCTTAATTATCATAAATTCAAGATTCATAATATTATTTCTTTACTCATTATACTTCATCTTGATACACACAGATTATAACACATGTAACAGTAGAGCAATTTCATGTTCTGTATCTACCTACTTCCGTGAGACATATACGTACAGGATTCAATTAACCGGAACCCTCTGGTGCCATTGTAAAATTACAATTATCGTATTGTGTTATTGTTATATATTACTGAATCATTGATGATATCTCATGAAGTTTCCTGAATGTTCACTGTGCCAAGAATAACGATACATCCTGTTTTATTATTCATTTCTGATTACAATTGGTTTAAGATATCTCTATAATCATTTATGAAGTCGAGCATGAGCATGACATCAAAGAAACGGAAGTTACCATGGAACTTACCATGAATCATGGTTGTAATGAGCATTTTATACATCAATCGAAACTGTATGTGTCATCCTTTAAAAAATAAATACAAAATATATATATATAATATTTCAAGAAGTTTCCTAGTTCAATCAAGTAGTTTTTGATTAAAGATGTGTTTGCTTTACAAAATAGATCTGATTGATGTCACAATAGAATGATTAATGTGTGGTGACCATTCCGTTAAAGAGAATTTAGGTATATCTAATGAAACATTTTATTAAAGTTAAAAACAGTAGACTGATGTTGCTTCCATAATTAAATGTTCGATTCTCGAAAGAGTGGTACCGTAGAAAAATGCTGGTATTAAACATGCATGACATTTTTTTATAAAGATAATAAAACGTTCCGGAACAAAATATTATTCTGCAGTTTTAAGTAGGGTTTTAAGCGTTTAGCAAAGATTTCGTGCAATCTCCATCCGCTCTTAGGGAAATTACAAAAAAATATTTCTTTCATGTACAAGGCATTTTGGAATTTTTATTATTTTTCAAACTAAAACAATATTTTTGGAGACTGCAGGCAATAGAGATATATTTAGCTTAATATACCTAAATGAATTTGTAATATCATGTTTCATTTAACTTACTCATATATATTTTTAATAAATTATTTCTGTATTATCTTCACGATTCTTAATGCACGTGCAACATATCATTCATCATATATATACGATTCTTTGATAAGTTGTTGTTTAATCATGCAATGCATGCGAACACTTTGCATTAGTCATCGTTCGTCAGTCTACATACACCAAATCACCATTCCTTTATTTAAACATGACTATTATAACAAATTACGTTCTTTATACATATATTAATCTTCGGGATAATTAATTCTAAAAATGTTAGTATTGAAGATTTGAATACCGCATAAAAAAACTAGAACTGCCACCGACATGGGTGAATACCCCCGCATACCACTTTCTCAGAATCAACAGTGGTCATTTAGAGCTCAAGGGCAACCTCCCAGCCATATCTGAGGGTAGTAAGCCAGTGCATTGCTAAGTAATGTATTGTCCATGTTTTTAGTGGCAAAGATCAAAGTGACCTTTAGCTTTGACCTATTGACCTCAAAACTGAAACTGCCACTGAAAGACTTGAATACCCTTCCTCCCGCTTTGCCTGGGGGTGTTTTATGACGAATATATGAGAACATAATTAAATGGTTCAAATGTGAAAATGTCAAAATCAATACACTGTGGGCAGGCATTCTTAAGCATTTCAGCTAATTGTAGTAAAAGCCCCTGTGACCTTGACCTATAACACAGTCACCTTTGACCTAGAAAACCTCAAAATCAATGAGGATCATGCACTTGTCATAAATTACCTCAATACTAAATATGAAGACTGTTGACCAAAGCATTCTTTAGTAATTGAGCGGAATATCTTTTTTTTATCAAAATCGATAGGGGTCATCTACTTATCATGACCAAACCCTAATACCAAATATGAAGACTGTGGGTCAAGGAATCTTAAGTTATTGGACGGACACGCTTTTTATGTCAAGACCCTGTAACCTTGATCTTTGATCCAGTGACCTCATTTGTGTCATTTTATGGTCATGACTAACCTCTGTGCCAAATATAAAGACTGTGGTGCAAAGTTATTGGGCGGACAATCTTTTTTAGTCAAGGCCCATGTAAGCTTGACCTTTGACCTGGTGACCTCAAAGTCAAAAGGGGTCATCTACTAATCATGACCAATATAAATATCCAATATGAAGCCTCTAGATGAAAGGAATCTTAAGTTATTGGGCGTGAAAATTGCAGACTCGGTTTGATTGAGAATGTACATAAGGAATAATGAAAAGTGAAAAATCACTCACGCCCGAGTCTGCAATTACTAGCCATTTACTTGTTTTTGTAACTTTCGAGGGAGTTCCCCTTTTCCAGCTATCCCATTTAAAAGCTTGTCTGCCCGACTTATCTTATATATGAACATATGAACAAAAGCAATAACACTCGAGTCCATCTAAATGATATCCACTTTAAACATTAATTAAACCAGTACATAATTAAATTAACAACAGTAAATACTGTACCTAACATATCTATCTTATGCGTTGATACCTTGGTAAATATAAAAGTTGATGTTAATATTTCAATTTTTTGCCTCATGATATTCATGGTGTTTTCAAAGATTTTGGTTATATAACCAAACAGTCTCGCGACACAAGGTTTGCATTGGTATGATGAAAATACTATGATGCTTGAATTATCATCCTTTTCAGGGATTGTCTGCTGAACAAGATCATATCACACATAACATGTTTCTCCTATCACATGACATTGACCTTCGTTTCAAATGTTAAATAATATTTTATATGGCAATGCACGAATTGGAGTTCCGTTATGAATGCATGGGGTGTTGTAATTTACATACACATCATTTTGCATTAAAGGTTTACAGATTATAACCTCAGTTTATGTATGAAACGACCAAATGATAGCTTCATCCTATCAACCGGAAAGAGATAATTCAAAGCTTTCCGAAATTTCTTAGAACATTACGAAAACTTCCGCTACAAATCCCAAACATTTTTGTGATTAACGTCGGTTATGTTTAGTAGCTATCTTGGGGTATTTTAATTGCTCCGCCTCCGAAAAGGCGGCATTCAATGAACCTTTTAAGGCTCAAGTGTAACTTCTACATGAAATGTTCCTTCAAGAAGGGTTGCAAAACAAGTGTTGGATTGATATTATAGTTGTTTTTGTTAAAACATTCTATATAAATACAACATTAATATTCGTTACTATAGCTTATTAACACACATGCGCGAGACTGAAAGACAGTGGTCAAAGAAGTTGTCATTTCACAGAACTGATGTCGAAGAACAATATCACCATGGTAAATTTTCTTTACTTTTAAAACCACTGGTATCAAGTGAATAACATATTTTTCTCTCAACACGCACGTTTCTTGCAAACCTCTGTTCTTCTGTTTCTTTTAACAATTAAAGAACGTATAAATAATTTATGACTGGATTTCCCCCCGTTTTGTTTTATTTGGATGCCTTCAGATACAACCCCTTCACCTTGAGAAGATTATTTTAGGACAAAGATGCTCATATGATGTGCACTTAAAATAAAGGTAAAGTAATCCCTGTTTTGGTAAAAAGATTTATTATTTTTAAATGGCACGTGTACAAAAGTAAACAAACAAGCTGTACAAATAAATATTTCACAACAACAAGCATTTTATAATACTGAATTGGTATTTGAGGTAAAAATATATATATGACGATAAAAAACAAAAGAGACAGAAAAGTAAAAAGACATATCCTTCATATAAACATATGAGATATTTTATGACAAAAATATTCATAAGATAAATCTTTTAAAAAAGTGGTTATAATCTGCTTTTCTTGAATATAATAAATATATTCAATATCTTGGAATACAATGGTTGTAAATGTTCCATTATATATGAAATAGATAAATATAGAATCCCTAAAGAAAGCCCAACACGGCAAAATTGAAAATGTTGCAGGCTCGGTTTGATTGAGCCTGTTCATGGACGATACTGGAAAGTGCAAGTTACCGTCCACGCCCCCTAGCACCGGCTTAAGCAGAATTCAACATTTAAACGTGAAATAGTAAAATTTTGAATTTAGAAACATCCGCAGATGTGTTCATACGGCGGTTATCATGGAACCTTCAATGTGACACTTCCGTGCCATTCCACGAAAAGCGGCGTATGGTCCCCAAGTAATAAAAAGCGTGTGCCCTAAACGAGAAAACAATGGGCGGAACTAAATAAAATGGAATTTTGAAAGGGGATCAGAGGTTATGAAGCCTGCGTATCACAGATAAGACGTCAAAAGACAAATTTAAAAAGCAGGCAACATATCCTAAGGGTGATTCAACATTATTCAAGTAGGAATATTGGAACCACCCAAGTGGAAAATGACGAAAAGTTGAAACTAAAAATACCACAAGCACAACAATAATGTCGTGCTGAACGATCTTCAAGGATCGAAAATATAACATCATTGATTAAATGTACGGGGAGACTTTTTACAGCCGCCACACGGCACAAATAACACGGATGTGATCATAAAATAGATAAATATAGAATCCCTAAAGAAAGCCCAACACGGCAAAATAGAAAATGTTGCAGGCTCGGTTTGATTGAGCCTGTTCATGGACGATACTGAGTCATACAATCATACAATTGCAACAATCTGCTAAGCTATATCACAAAAGTTAAATAACAAATGCTCTATGATCAGTTTTCAATCATGAATGGAATGTTTGGTATCCATTTTGGAATATATTTTTATGTCGTCATTAGAGGCAAGACAAAATATTCTTGGACACCATTTGTTTGCATGTTATTTGTTAAAAATCTTCAGTGAATTTATATAATTATAATATAATTATATCTAAAATGTTCTTATAAATATTCATATATTTTAAAAAAACACATGGAATGTTCTAGACAACAAGTATTATTTGACATTTGCGTTTGTTAAAAAATCTACAAATACCGAAACTATTTAAAAATCGAAAAAGATAATCAGACAACTGGTATACAATATATTGGAAAAATACACACACTAAATTTGTTAAAAGCAGAATTCATCATTTTGTTTTAGTGTCAAAATTGCTTGCTTTGTTTCATTTAATAATTATAGTTAATTAAACGCACTATCATTTTTTCTATATAAAAAGGCACATTCGAATGTGTAATCAGAAACATATGCACCATGTGTTATAAAAAACAAAGAAATAAACATACATAAGCAGTCAAAGAATTTGTTGTTTTTTTTACATTGAAATCTAATATTGTAATATATTTCAACTGATTAAAAGTCAAATACATTTAGTAGCATTGTAATTTTGAAAGTACTGATTGGAATCATCTGTATTCATTTTTATTCGTCTGGTCCAATTTCTGTTTTGGTACGTCATCCTTGCCACCCTTAAACAGTGGTGTTTTCAAGAGTAAAGATGCTTTTCAAAATGAGAGATGTAACCATTACCTGTAATAATTAATTATTCTTTATGTTAGGTACTTTTTGTAATTTTATGATTACTTTGTTAATTATCTTAAATGGACCTGTCCATCTCTTAATCTGGACAAAACAATTCATTACGTAATATATGAAAATTTCCGGTGAAGCTGAAAACGGTCTACAGTGGTTTGCATGGGTAAATACAGTTACCTCCAGCATGCTTAATGTTGATACACACGATTTTATTTCACTTTCAACAATATACCTTTGCTTTAACTATTAATTCATATTAAGATTAAAACATAATATATACTTTAAAAGTGTTGTTAACTTTTCCTTCAAATTTGTAATACCTTTGAATTTTGTAATTATATGATGAAATTGAAACGTACCGTCGATGTCAAATAATTCCTCTACCCATTTGTCCAGCATATGATTCTTATGTCTGCAAAGGTCTAACACTACACTTTGTATCGTTGACACTGAAACAGAAATAAATTTTGATGTTATATTATTTTAGCATATACTAATTAGCAACATTCAAAGAATGCAAATCCATATTGAATATAATATAGATCACTGACTATACAACTTTATACGATTACAATATCTGGGCATTGTGCGCGTACATTTTCTTCCTATGTTACCAGTGTAGACACAGATCAGTAGGCATGTCCATGCTCTCCGACCATGGCCTACAACGAAAGTATCCTGTCAAAGCTTAGTTTGAAATTTCTCCAAAAATGTTTAATGGTTTTGTAACTGTCACGGGTTCACTCAGTCGGTAGAGATATATATAATCTGCCGCAGCTGATAAGCTGTCCGCGAAAACAACATTTATAATAATTGATGGACAATCATGGGTCCTTTGGAATGGGTTGGAAACTGTGAAGTAAAAAGATATATCAAAGATATATAACAATATTTATTGAAAAGTTTACAATGTACGTCTATATATAATAAACTGTTAATGGTGAATGCAATGAAGCAATATAATAACAAAGTACATGTATACAAAATATGAAATGATAACATGAACGATTCCTTTTACAAAGTTGAGCTTTAAAATACTTATTAAGAACATAGTTTAATACAAATTACTTATACTTATTACTAGAGTGAAATGCACAACAAAAATGTATCACTAACCTGTGAAGTAAAAAGATATATCAAAGATATATAACAATATTTATTGAAAAGTTTACAATGTACGTCTATATATAATAAACTGTTAATGGTGAATGCAATGAAGCATTGCATTCGTGTACAATGTAAACGGGTCACAGGTTAGATAGAAAGCGACTTATTATTATGTAATAGGTTATGAAGAAAGAAAAAGTATAGATTGGAAAAGATAATTCGGCTACTGTATAGGTATACAGGAAAGGTTTATAGGACTGTTTTGACAATTGTAATAATAAGGGGAATTAAAAATAAAAACAACACGCATGATTTATTCAATTATTTATCTATTTAATATATTTATCAATTCAAACACATAACTCTTTTATTTTACAATTCACCCTACGACACACTCCCCCTACTTTATAAATGGCGTCCCGACATTTCCAAACCTAAATATAAAAGGAATCAAAAATATGATGATAGATGAGATGAAATGGCATATGAAATGAAAGTGACTTTGAAACATGAAAGTATTTAAATATATCAACGACATGGTACTACCTTATCGAGTTTGTCTGAAACAAAACGGTACTAGTAAGTATAATAATTGTACTTGAAGTAGGATCAGGATAGTGTCCTAACAAAATCACCAGCACATGTCCTGAAATGACAAATAAAAACAACAGGTATGATTAATGATAATTACAAGTGAAAAATGTCATCGGCACACACATACAATTGATGTTTTCTGGATCATCTGAAATGATTCAAAAATTTGCAAATTAATGGCACTAATACAATGTTTATTTCCTATCAATACCATCAAGATATGCCTCTGTATTACAACGTTTCTGAAAAAGAAAAATCAACATAATTGATTCAAAATAGAGAACAACAGATTTAAACAATCACACTTACAAAAAGTATTCACTCTTTAGATAATCATGCTCACTAAATCATTCAAACAATATGAATCAGACAATTCTACATGTTTGTACATATCTTGAAGCCATGGTTTAATATCCATATCTATCAGGTGCTCTCGATGTGCGCTTCGGTCTTGGAGAAGGAAGGAGTCCTGGCGAGCCTGCAGATCGTCTCATAGGAATAACATACGGCCTTACAGTATTGTTTGCAACCTGATCTTCGGCAGGTGTGTTCGGGTCATCATCTGTTTCAATGGCATCCGTGGTTGACATGAAAGGCAAAAGGAGATTACGATGGAGTGTTCTTGTCTTCTTGTACCTTGCCCCTTCACGCTTCACTTGGTAGACAGGTATGTCATGGTTAGGCTGGCTGATGACGATGTACGGGTCATGTTCCCATTTATCGGCCAGTTTCTGTTTGCCTCTGATGGAAACGTTCTTGACAAGAACTCGGTCTCCTGGAGCGATAACAGAACTTCGAGCTCTCTCATCATACTTTGCTTTGTTGAGCTGACCCGTCTTACTTGATATCAATCTAGCCTTTTCGTATGCTGTTTTGAGACGTTCATGTAGCTTAACCACGTACTCTGAATGTTTGCTGGCAGACAAAGTGTCTGTGGGTAAACCCAAGAAGGCATCAATGGCAAGTCTGGGATGTCTGCCGAACATCAGATAGTAAGGAGAGAACCCCGTACTCTCATGATGTGTGGCATTGTAGGCATGGACTAATGTAGGCACATGCGCTTTCCAATCAGCCTTTTGATTATCTTCAAGGGTCCCCAGCATCTTGAGCAACGTTTGGTTAAAGCGTTCGGTCATCCCGTTGCCCATGGCATGGTATGGCGTGGTTCGACTCTTCTCGATACCGGCAAGTTGACAGAGTTCCTTGATCAAATGGGATTCGAAGTTCTGGCCCTGGTCGCTGTGAATCCGTGCTGGAAAACCATAGTGAACTACAAAGTTCTCAAAGAGAACCTTTGCAGTGGTCTTTGCCGTCTGGTTCCTCGTAGGGTACGCCTGAGCATATCGGCTAAAATGATCAGTGATGACCAGCACGTCTTCATAGCCTCCTTTTGATCTCTCAAGTGACAGAAAATCGATGCAGACTACTTCCATTGGGTATGAAGACTGTATCGGGACGAGTTGTGCTTTAGCAGGTAGGTGTTTTCTTCTCAAACATCGTCCACATTTTCTCACCATACCAGCAATATAGGAGTCCATGCCAGGCCAATAAAACCTTTCTTTAATAAGAGATGTCGTCCTATCCCGACCTTGGTGGCCAAGGTCATCATGCAAAGCCTTGAAAATATCTTCCTTCAGGTTTTCTGGAAGGACGAGTTGCAACCTCTCTTCACCAAAGATTCGATGTCTTCTGTACAGGACTCCTTGCATCAGAATAAGATACTTCCAGTCGCGCACATAAGCATTAATCCCTGAAAATCTGCGTCCGTCCGGCTTAGTCGGAATCGAACCTTTCCTAAGGTGATCAATGATGTACGCGATAAGAATATCTTGATTCTGTGCCTTAATCCAGTCTGTATTACAAAGGCAGTTCTGAAGAACGACATCAGCTGGAATATCTGAGGTGCTTGTGTTGTTATCACTAGGGAGTTGGACGTTGTCTATGAAAGGTCCTGTATCAATTGTGGCAGCAAGACTTAATGCTTTAACAGTCTCCTGGGTAAGTGAATGTTGACGTCTCGATAAACCATCTGCATCGGCATTCTGCAATCCACTTCTATAAGTTGGCGTGTAATCATAGTTAGCCAGAGCTGCAATCCATCTTTGACTTGTTGCATCCAGCTTGGCTGTGGTGTTGACATAAGTGAGAGGATTATTATCCGTCACAACCTCGAATTTCCCGCCATACAAATAGTCGTGAAACTTTTCAGTCACGGCCCATTTGAGAGCAAGAAATTCGAGCTTATGTGCAGGATAATTCCTCTCGGATGGCTTAAATTAAATTAATGGTGAATGCAATGAAGCATTGCATTCGTGTACAATGTAAACGGGTCACAGGTTAGATAGAAAGCGACTTATTATTATGTAATAGGTTATTAAGAAAGAAAAAGTATAGATTGGAAAAGATAATTCGGCTACTGTATAGGTATACAGGAGAGGTTTATAGGACTGTTTTGACAATTGTAATAATAAGGGGAATTAAAAATAAAAACAACACGCATGATTTATTCAATTATTTATCTATTTAATATATTTATCAATTCAAACACATAACTCTTTTATTTTACAATTCACCCTACGACATAACGATAAAATATTCCATTTTGAATATATTGCGTGGTCAGGGTTAAAATTCTTCTCAGACGAATGATTATAGTTCACAGGAGCATAGCGTGAGACTGCTGATCATTTGATACTGTAAAGCAAAGACATTGCCGGTCTAAGTTTTATGCTCTATTGAACATTATGCCTAAGATTCTTCCATCAGTTACAATAAATATGCAATTTGACAATCAAAAAAACTTACAGCTTATATCACAGACTTTCGCTTTCATTGCAATATACAAAGTTTGTTTTCCCTCGTAATTTCTACATAAGCCGTGCCTTGCAAAATGTCTGACCGTCCTGAAAATAAAACATTTCAATACTACATACATGTACGACTGAAGACTTGACTTATTTTGCATATAACAAAAAACAAAAGTTTGGAAAATAAACAATATTTAAAAATCCATAAGAGTCAAATGTCCATGGTTAATAAATCAAAGTTTCTAAACGCATTGTATTCGGTCTATTTGTGATAAAGATTGCTTTTGGTGTCACTTCCTTATTTTGTGCTTTCTTATTTTGTACTAATATCACTATTTTATTTAAGTACTTATTCGAAACAGTTTCTGATTTCATATTTTTATCAAATTCGGTAACTTTGCTCTATACCATTAAATCGTTTAATTATATTACGCTTATCAAAATATCTTTTTGTTGAACAATTGTATCTGTGTTTCATGGCTTTGAAATAGCATGAAATTAGAAGATTGTTTTATTTGTTACAATTCAATATAATTTTCCATTAATCGCGTAAATGAAATATCAATATGCTCACAACAGATTTGCTTTCTAGCGATTACCAATACTGGTTAATTTGTTATATTAGTCTTTAAAATAAAAAGTTAAAATATTTTCTAAATAACGTTAAGTGCAACCTCTGCAGAAATACGCTCTAAGAGTAATTATCTTTTCATTTAAACAGTATTGTTTCTTCTAAAAGTAAGTTATCACAATAAGTGCATTTAAAATCACTTTTTATATAAAACAACCGACAATTATGTCTCCAAAACGGTATTTTATACTTAGGTACGTCCCTTGTTGGTAATAATATATCTCAAATATGTTTTTCATTTTAAGAAAAATATTAAAACATTTGTTTATGATATCATTGAAATGAACTTACGGTTGGTGTGTTTTGAAGTCTCCAATCCCTGTGTCCTTTGATGAATCTGAATCAGTCATTTTGACATGGTGTACATTCAATACAAAGCCATCACTATTAGAAACAAACATGCTGATAGCTAAAGCAGCAGCTAATAAAATGTTCAAGATATATGTAGTCATATTTTATCCCGTTTTATTTGCTGTTGGGTTCTTTCCGTCGTACAATGTTTATTAATGTTTATTGTTAAATATCCAAGACTTTGTATGTTAAAATACTCTATGCTTGTTTAGTTTGAATAATTTCTTTTCATTAATCAAACTTGTCTATAGTTTGAAATAATCAGAGTAATTGCCGAGTAATCAGAATACGCGTTCAGCGTTCTAAAAAATAAAAGTGCTTCTGTTGTTCTAATTTATCATCTGAATGAAAGACACACTTAAAACAAGAATTTATATACAAATTACATTACTGGCATGTAATGGAATCCCAAGAGGCCAAGTGTGTAGGCAGCAGATTATTTTAGTATTACCACTTCACCTGTAAGAGAGAATTAAGTATTTCAACTGATTCATTCATTTAATAATTCCACTAGTAAATGTGTTGATTTTCAAATTAACTAATAACTAACTTATTTTTCACTAAAAATAAAAGTAATTACTATAACAAAGGATATATTATACAAAAGCTATTGTGTGATAATAAACAGAAATGGCAAAAATGGATTGGGTTAAATGCCTATCACAGGATTCACACACTTTGTTATCTCGTTCACTAATCCTGGTATTTTCAAGATTACGATTTCTACCAATAAATGTCATATCAGATTATTCACTGAAAATCCAATAATGGTTTTTATAGCAATGTCAATTAAAAAGAAAACATTGCATCAACACAGTACAGGTCAAATGACGACTTTCCAGCTTTACTGGTGCAGGAATACATCAGATGCACTTCCGTGCATTATTTCAGAAACGAAACTGAGTAGAACCAATGACGTTCCATAAGTAAGCTGAATAGCTTTCTCACGTGAAAGAATTTAAAGTCCCTAAAATGTTTTAATAAGTAACAAATGAGAATTGAAAAGAAGTTTTTTTTACCATTAATTACACTTAAAATATCATCATTATGTGATTTCATCCCGATAAATGTCATAATATTACAATGAATACAATAAATTTCGACAGAGGCAAACACTTAAGAAGTGCCATGAAAATGTTCCTTTTAATAGCGTATAATAACAAAATGTTTTATTATATCACCTACCTATTTCAAGCAAAACTGAATAATGGTGTAAGTCAATTTCACACACAATGATTATATAAAAATCAATGCTATCTGCTGTTCATCAGAATTCCAAGCAAATGTTGGGTTGCTGAGTCTTATAGAACTTTATATATATAATGTTTTTCACAGAAGCTCTCGGTGATTTCAAGCAATTTCGATGACGAATAACAGGTATTATTCTACAATATTCTCTAGCAGCGTTAAAAACTCGAAATGATTCAAGTAGTATTTTTTCATCAACTTTCAAGCGTGTTTTAATTACGCTCCTTCTTTCCGGTGACAAATAATAGGCAGCATGTGACTGTATTTCTTTTTTTTACATTGATTGCGCTCAATGATCCCTGGAACGTACCGGTAGTTTTAATGTTTAGTGGTAATAATTTTCGCGTTTGGAGGCAAGCAGTAACCGAGCTTCATTCAACGCAGTAATACATCATTTTCAGAAACGTTTGAAACGTGACTGTAGGGTTAAGATATTAGCCATTTTATGAAATAGACGCACTTAATAAAACATGTGTTTTGTCAAAAAATAGTTCGTTAAATAGGATGTAGAAATATCAAACTTAAAGATAACCCGATCCTAATCGTTTTAGATTGTTAAAAAAAACTCACATCCTCTTGTATGATTGTTATAAAAGCCACATCTATTCGAAGGCTTAATGTATCTATATAACAATACGTAACCAATAAATTCCGCTTGACGAAAGCAGATCTAAAAGATATAAAGTTAAGTGTTGCTTTTTGATTCCATTATAGAAACGTGATTAAAACATTACTTAAACTCTCAACAAAGGACATATCCGGCTGTCTTATCTTTTGTAAAATTCGTTTTAAACTTTTAATGTAGTCATCTCCATGCATATTTAATCAAGCGTTGAATGTGTTGTGAGGGGGGCTGTTAAATTCAAAACGGAATGATAGATAATTGCCGTATTAACACAACATGTTTCTGTATTCAAAATTTCTGGAATTCTGTTTCAGCAATGACAATAATTTGCATGATCTATAATTGCTAAACCTTTAAAGACATATTGGATAGTGACAGTGGGTTACGGAATATCCGTTGGTGTTTCTAACAAAAGTAGTTTGATATTCAAACTTTAAAGCGTTATTCAAAAATTGTTTAAAATGAAAACAAAATCAGTTTTAAATAACTGCTTAATACATACAGGATATTGCATGAGTGTAAATATTATACTATATTTATTGAACGAATTGAAATAAATCATATCAATTTTATTTAATTCAACTCGTTCAACAAATTAAGTATTTAATTTATAAGAACATATAATTTTATTGATCACATATATAAAAAAGAACGGTAAACAGGTAAAAAGGAGTATTTTTCATTGACTCGCTTATAGTGTAGGCTAACATCAGTTCACTTTAACACTATGCTTGTAAGGGGCTCAAACAATAGGGCAATTTTTTCAGTCTATTCAAATTTAGTTCCTTCGTAAGGAGTTAACAGTTATTACATTAAGTTATGGGTGGTTGTAAATACTCATTATGCGAATCCCTGGTCGATAAAACTGTAATCACTGTTGGATTATACATAATTAATATGTAAAGTTACCTCCCTTCTTTTATGCTTTTTCTTTTCAAAAATAAAAATAAAATTATGAATTTAATAAACCTTTGAAAACCGCAATAACTTGTTTTTAATTGTGGCCTGTTGGTTTTCATCAGAAATGCGTTTTTTGCTGATATCTATTGAAAAGGCAAGCTGCGTGTAAAACAAGGCAACGAATACATGATATAGTATTTTATTATGAAATGAGGTATAATACAAACCATTTAAAAATACATTTTTGTCATAATTATTTATTATATAAATAGACTGTCTAATCTAACGTGACACTTTTTACTACTTGTAGTACATGTTTACCAGATATAAGGTGAAATGAATGTAACATGTTCTCTTGTTCTCAATTATTAAACATTCAAACATTTACAAATTATACAATAACAATATACGTGTATTTTTCCATACAAGTATGCTTTTTTAAATTTCAGTTTTTTTTAAAGAAAATTGTATTATCATTAAATAGTAGAAGCAGTTGATTTCTCTTGTTACACCTGCAGGATAAAAACAACATAATACTACCCATTGTCAAATAGACACTTGAGGTTACGGTTTACCATATTAGATTTACCATAAAAAGCGTTATTTTGTTCCTGTTTCAAAACATTCCATTTGACATTCATTTTCTTTCGAAAATTACCAAAAGAAAAAAAATATTTATTACAATATATACATGACTTTGTCATAATATATAAGAAGTCATGAAATTTTAGATGATTTTTTTTACATATATTAGAAACTTTTGATGTGTATTATCTACATCAAAAAAGATTTCATTAAATAAATTCAATTATTTATGGAAAAGGTAAAACAAGAGCATTGTATGCCTTGTTACCGATTGTCTGTTTGGGACAACAAAGACATGTTGATAACTTTTCTAAATGATTGGAAAAAAGTTTATTATATGGCGACGACAACGACGACCAAGCAATCATAATATATCGTTTTTTTCTCCGAAACAGGCGTGTTCATTAAAAAGTGACAAAACATATACTTGATTCAACATTTACTTGATCTTCTTAAATAAGAGAATAAATTTCCAAACAATTGTTTCTTAAATTGTTTATTAAACAGATACAACAAAGCAAAAACAAACAAACAAAAACACACACACATGAAATTCATCGGTTCTTGGTTAATACTGATATGCTTTGAGGTAGTTTTAAAACGCTTATCATAAATGTCATGTGCAGTACTTGATAATAACATAGAATATAATGAAGGTCTACAGACATTGCAAAAATAAACGTTGTAAGCCCGGTTATGAAGTCTGTTATTTTACGACATTGCTGAAAGCAAATTACATCATCGCCCCTAAGATTTAAAGTAGACGACTTCAGCATCTAATAATTAAGAATGTTTACCAAGAACTTGATGAGCTTTTTCTTCAGATGTTTGTTTATTTCTTTAAGCAGGATATATTGATAATATTGTATTTCTTCATTGCAAAATTAATGACAAAGCCAAATTTTTGTCGGATAATCCTAACTGTAAGTAGTATGACACATACTGTTTTGGTGCTGTAATAATATCAATACTCTAAAAATAACTCCCGGACAACCAATTCTGAGCATTACTGCACATAACCTGTTCTGAATGGCCGGGATTGATCTGACTTTCTTGACAAATTGTCATAATTAGAACCATTGTATACAGTTAACAGATTCAGCTTTTTGAGTTTAAGCCTCTGCAAATGCGCTCATTATTTCTTGGTGTCGAAGATTTTCTTCAACTGTACGATTCAAACCGTGCTAGGTCGTGACAACGTTCTTCAAGTGAAAAGATTCCTCTCGTGATGGGAAATGACGTCATTTCCTGAAAATATATTTATCAAAACACTTTCATCAAATGATTAAACAACGAACTACTTTTTCAAACAACAATTCACTTTATACATTGTGTAAAATGTTTGTTATGGACGAATTGTTTTGATTTGTTGAGTTTAACTATTTAAGGGCATATAGGGTACAGTAGTACTTTTCCAACCAATTCTGATTACAGACAACACCTACCTCTTTACCGTATTAACCGTTCCTTCTTAATTTAAAAGTATATATTGTCATTAAAGTTTAAATAATTATGTCAATTACATCTAGATCATTCTGCCTTCAGAAATGGCGCTGCGTATGAATATGTGCTCGGATAACCAAGATGTCATCAATTACGTGTTACCCGCAGAAAGTACTACTTAGAAAATTTCAAATTCATCGGGCTAGCTATATGTTTTGTCATTCTCCTTAAATACGTGGGATCTCCATTTTATATTATTAAACTTTTAAATCATGCAAATGTTAAGAAACTAAATTATATGCACTAGCTTGAATTATCATTCGTTGTGCATGTCAAAATTGGAGAAACTATTTGAAATGGCTTTAAATGTTTTCAACAATACTACAATGCTAACCGTCAATATCGAATAATTCCTTCACCCATTGGTCCAGCATATAATTTTTACGCCTGCAAACGTCTAAAACAATACTTTGTACCAGTGTCACTGTAAAAAATATAAATACTTGAAATATACCGAAACATTTTCCTATCAGCAACGTTATGAATCAGGATATATAGTATTATACAAAATTACAGTATTGTTTGTTCGCAAATAAGTTATTGACATCCTAGCAAAGTGATATTGTTAACTTCTTATTTTATTATTCGTTTTAAATTAAGAACTGCAGCCACTTAAAGCTTGGACATCGCGTTTAATGTTCAACGTAGCCAACTTATTAAATTTGCAAAGAATATTGCTATTAAAAATGATGAATGGTGTTTAATAGAACTTACAACTTGTACCACACACTTTTGTTTTGACTGCTCTGTAGAGACGTTTCTTTCCTTCTGAATTATTACATAAAATATTTCTGGCGAAGTATTTTATTGGTCTGAAATAAAAACGTGGCCGATATCATTTTTATTATCTTTCATAATACCGCTAAACTTATAAAATTTATTTCCCGAATACTAGTTTTCATTTTAATGAAACGCCCTAAATTGACTCGCTCTGCCTTTGCAGTTATATAAAATCAGACACATTATATCGAAACCATGATCATTAGGGGAAATATCTAAATTATCTTGACTATTATTAATCGATTAATTATCTACTTTGGAACAGTCCATGCAGAGATAAAGGGGTTTCAAATATAAAAAGAAATACAAAAACATGAAATGTGAACGGTTTACAACCTGTCCAGACTACACAAATACAATTTATTAATTATATTAATTACATTACTGGTAATTCAGATGGCACAATGAAAAAAAAAAAGGAAAAAAATCATGTACATATAATATTTCTTATTTATTACAAAGTAGATTTTTAAAAAAATTGTAAATATCGAATATAAGCAACACTAGAAAAAAGTCTATATTTCCAAGAACTTACATTTCAAGACTGTCCTGGTTCATTCTCTTGGCAGATCCACTAGTTTCCACCACATAGCTTCCCCTTTTCATAGTATATCCATCGCTTTTATGTATAATCAACCCGAATACAACGCTCACTCTAAAGTAGCATTTAATAGATGTTGCCATGTGATAAATGTTTTCTATGAACATCACTTCTCCTGGTCACTCTGTATATTGTATTTCTTTTCTTTTTTCTTATTGATTGATTTATTTGATTTATTGATAAGTAGTGTTTTTGTATTAAATGCATTCAGCAATTTCCATAAACTTTAATTTTAAATAAATTCAATTTGAATTAATTTCTACTTTATAAATAATTAATTCCCACATTTATATAACCACAGCGATTGTTTCCTGCTGTCTCGTTTATTTATACGAAACGTTTCTTGAGAATGTTTTGTTTTATCAAACTAAATATTTATATACAAACAGGACTGGAGTATTCAAAAGTTCTTCAAGAGGGTTTCTCAGAGGCGTCAGCTGCACACGAAGCTTCAAATATACCTGTAGGAAATGAATAATTGCTATAAGTTTTTTCTTGATAAAGTTGTGTTTTTTATTTCTTTTGAACAAATCACCGCTCTTTCGGGCGGATCTTTCATGTTTCTATTTATAAAGTGAACGAACTATTCGTTGAAATGTTCTCGCTGCGAAATGAACAGTCTCTGAAATGGTTTACCTTCATTTGCTTTGCCTGCATCTTACTTGTGTAATAAATTATACATTATAGATAAGGTAATAAATGAATTATTTATTATTTATCTGCTAAACTTTATGAAAATATTTACTGTCTCCAAAGGTTATAGAAAAAGCGTTAAATAATTTAATTATTTACCTGTTACTGTACATTAGGACGAAATATATATTTGAACAATGTCCGTTACTTATTTCAAAAAGTTCAAAATTTCATCAAACGCCCTTTTCTGTATTAACAGTCCTTTTATTGCACAGTAGGATTGTACATACACAACTGTATATGTATTAAACATTTTCTTATGTTATTACAATACATTCAAAATAGAAACAAATGTCTCTTTCTGCGCCAACAATAAGAGTGCGTAAATGTTTTTTTTATGGCGGATATTATATAGAATAGGTTAAATACATTAACCGCTAAAAGAAGTTATCATTGAAGATGAGAAACAATCTGAAGATTCATTGGCTGGTAAAGCCACACAAATGAGTCAGACAATTTTAACTAGTTGTTTCTTATCAAATGCTTTCCTTCTATCTAACTGTCGACAAAATGTTATAATAGAGTCAAACAGTGCCTTCGATTGCACATTTGTATTTTGTTTTCTATGTTCTCGGCCTCGATTGACTTTTAAGAATTTTATATTCACAACTGAAGATGATGTATGCTGCGAAAAACGTTTAAAATAGAAACTTAGTCACAATGTTCTTTTCCATGTCATTTAGATAGAACAAATTTAAAATATCACTATTAAATATGTTAAATGAAGCGTAAACCGGTGATTGGCGTGTTGGAGGTACCTTGCACTTTCCAATTCAGTCCACTTTATTTAAAGTTTTGTGCATATTTTGGATTGATGTTTTCTATTTTAAAATTATCATCTAAATAGTTCAAATTTCATAGTTTCACTTAAATGCATAATGGAGTGACCATGGAAGTTATCTTCAAAAATCTAAATCAAACACTAAATGTGCCTATAAATAAACTAGATTGAACATTCGCAGATAACGACATAGATATAATATATTTAGCTGATTAATCAAAGAATTGAATGAATTTTTTTAGTAATATCATTGGTATTATTTGAATAGGGAATAGGAACAAAAGAACGATCTATTCGGCAAAACTGAAAAATGTTCTGTTAAGATTAACCTGTCTTGGCCAATAGAAATAAATGCATGCTACCGTAGCACCATTAAGCGGAATTCAATATTAAAACATGAAACAGATGCAGGGATCAAAGTTTAGTTTTCAATATGAATTAGACGCATTTATTGTCAACCATGTTTAATCGTTAATGCATGTGGCAATGATACATATACTTGATTCACCAAATAACAAATAAAAAAGGAATAAAAAATAAATAGATAAATAAAAAAAACAGAAAAAAACTAATATTAACAAAACCTGTTTTAATGACTTCTTTCTCTGCTTAATTTTGTACGGGAAACCAAGTCATCGCTACAAATTTCCTATAATTTCATTACCTCAAGTATGAAATGCATTAAGTCTCAAGTGCTTCGGTATGAAACTCTTATATAAAAATGTGCCTGAATATGAAGAAGGCTCTTTATTATCATTGTGTAAAGCTATAATGAACAAGTAGGTACTATATGGTATACTTTTTAATTCATTTTATATTCCAAGAACACCCTTGAATCACACAGTATTACAATGCATATTCGCACCAGACGACATACACAATTTATCCATTCTTAGTATTTGGCTGAGCATCACTAGTGAAAATCATAAATATAATATATATTTCAATTCCATTACAATTCCCGAATTACAATTTCTTTTAAATGTTTAGGAGTTACAACGTGAAACGTAATAAAAAATTATACGATATAATCGATTATAAAGTTGACACACGATAAGCAATCGCATAGTTGTAAGAACACAAAGTTTAATTTAGTATCGTCATCGATGCATGTGATCCTGCCATTTTTCAAATACAAGATCAAATGTATAGGAAAAAAAACATTTCAATATCTACCCATCAGATTGCCTTTTGCTTTCCGTTATATTAATCATACCGTGAAGAAAAACTAAATGCATTTTAACATAAACTCATCTTGTTGCATACTTCACACAGTAACTAGTTCTACAAACTAAGTTTACATATTTAGTACGATTAAAGAAAAGTAAAAGCTCAACGAGTTAGAGCCAAACGCAGCTTCCCTCCCCCAAATAAACCCAGGACCATCCATCAGAAAGGCGCCCAGCAGAGTTACGAACAGAAAGGAGAGCACAAATGCCTAGCAAGAACAGTTAGTAATGAACAAACTGATATGCAGAATGTAAGGGAATGAAATAAGTAACGTAAACGAAACCTTACTCATTAAGGTTCCATTGACACAGCTGTTTATAGAAAGTGTCTAAGATTTCAAAATCCATCATGCGAGTCTTTTTTAAAGACATAAATGAGTGTTCAAATGCATTGTACTCTGAATGAGAAATGATTATAAAAAGAATATGAATATATTTCTGGTGTTACCTGATATGCAATGAACAATAAAGAAAACCTTTTATTATCATATGATTTTCGTTTTGCTTGAGTAGTTTAAAATGGCAAGTTTGACACTCACCGTGTCAGTCACAATGGTGCGAAATTAGAAATTAAAACACTTGAGTTTAATAATTATGTAACAGCAAGTAAGTGCAAGCACTTAAAACGAATACTTAAAGTTACTATAAACGTAAAACAGTGCCTTTGTAATCTGTGAGTCAAAGTTATTAGAAAGCATATAATAAGCATAAGCAATCAGTCTGGTAATATCACTTATTGTACCATTTTTTTAGTTGTTTCTTTTTAAATAGTTTGAACAAGGAATATAACTCTTATACTGATAGATATAATTACACTTCTTTTATCATACGATTAAAAAAGTCTTATGGTTAAGTAACCACAACTACTTAAACACTTATTGGTGGTTTTTTATAAAGGAGAACATATTAAACCGAAACATTTTTTGTTTTCAGTTTGTTTACTCTCTTGAAAGACATGTTAGTGTAAAATTTAAAATATCACTTATCATAGATATTAATGAATGAATGATATAATTTTCTTTATATATCATTTTATAAAGTACACTTTTATATTTTATTAAACAAAATATATTATGGTCGGACACTATGAACAGTATAATCTTACATGTACATAAAAGGCATTTTTCCATACTCAAATACTGTAATATCAATATGGCGTCGTCATGTGAACATATGTACAGGTGTTTAGAAAATTCATTATCTTCATATACATGTATAAATGTAAATATGATACATTCTGCTAAAACCACCACTGCTAAGGGCCGTAGATGGTAACTGTTGCAAAAACTTTCCATGACGAAGCTGAAACCGAATCTGTAACATTTTAAGTTTGGCGTGTTGAGTTACAATTTTATCTTCATTGTTTAAGAGTCTCTATATAGATGACACCTTTGTTTGGTTGTTTTTTACGTCGTTCCAACAACGAAATGAAATGTTGTTTTTTTTATTATTATTTTAGCAAATTGCACAAAAGCAAAGAAAAGTTATTAGATAAATCTCATTTGTAACTGTCAAAATTGATATGTATGCAAAAACGAACTCTAGTAGATTAATTTCTGTGCGATGTAAGGCGATATTTAGATTCCTTCAGGGTTAGAGAAGCATTTGAAAATTGTGTGCCCACTTGGTTTTAAGTTTAATAAACATGTTAATGTTATTTGTAATAACACTTACTTTGATAGCAGGTCTGTTGTTTGTCGAAATCTATTTTAACATTAGGAAATGTCATGTGGTAAATATGATCATTTAGACAGTAATAAATCAAATC